ATTTAATGTCTTCCACAAGAGCACAGTAAGGGCAATTTGGATGAGCTCTATCATTGATGAGGTTGACAGCATCTTGACAGTCTATTTCAATTATCACATTTCTCCAACCTTTTTCATGAATGATGGTTGTTCCGCGATAAATATTTTTGCTTCGAGGCTTGTTGCTACATCCAACTTTTCAGAGTATCCCAGAATCCAAGAACTTTTTGCATCTCTAAAGAGTCCTCCAAAACCAGCTTTTCCCAAACTTTCCTTGACACATCCATCAGCATTTAGCTTGATATTACCTGTAGAAGGAGGCAACCAATTGATTAGTTTAATTCTTTGATGATTAGAGCTAAGGGGGCATTGGAAAGCCTCGTGGATCTCTTGAGTATACTGGAACACTAGGCGTAAGCTGTCACTAATGTGAACATCACAATTATCAAAAACAGTTTTATTCCTACCTTTCCAGATGAACCAAAGGGTGACAGTGAACCATATGTTCCAGTTGATACTTGCAAGTTTTGTTTTATCACAAAGATTGAAAGAAAGCCAAACATCCAGAGGCTTATCAATGCCATCCTTAATCCATTGATCATTTTTCAAATTTTTCCACAACTCCCTTGAGCAATAGCAACCTCTAAGGAGATGGCTCATGCTTTCCCCATTAGAATGGCATCTAGGACAAAGATCATTGCTGTCAAAACCTCTGTTGACTCTGAGTTGGTTTGTGAGGAGTCGGCCATGCATAACAAGCCATAAGAAGCCTTTGAGTTTTTGAGGAATTTTTAATTTCCAAATCCAATTCCAACAAAAGTTATGATCTTCAACATTAATAATGAGGTCATAAGCAGATTTGGAAAAGAATCTACCTTGGGGAGAACCTGTCCAGTGGGGTTTATCAGGAAAAGTCACAAATTAGGGAAGTTTGACTTTATGGATGTTAGCAATATCAGTAGGTGAAAGGTGACTAGCAATCGAGTTCAAATTCCAGTCCCCCTCCTCATTGATGATAGTGTTGACAATGTTATGAGTGTTAGTGTGAGGGCCAGGAGAAGTATTAGCTAAAGGTTGGGTTCCGTACCACCAGTCATTCCAAAGAGAAGCTTTATTACCATCCCCAATAGTCCATTTGGTACCTAGTCTAAGAGTATCTCTAGTTTTGACAATGCTTTTCCACAAGGGAGAGCCTCTCTTACCCAAAGGCCAGTCAAAAAGGGAGTGCTTATGGAGGTACTTCTTTTTCAAGATAACAGTCCACAGGCTATGATCATCATTAAGGATCCTCCAACCTAGTTTGGCAATGAGGGCATGATTATGGTGGCTAGCTTTTCTAATGCCAAGCCCCCCTTTATTTTTAGGTAAGCAAACTTGGTCCCAATTAATGAGGTGAATTTTTTTTCTTGAAAGTAGAGTCGCCCCAAAGAAAATTTCTGTTTAATTTGTCAATGTTATTGCAAAGGTTTTTGGGGAGCTCAATGGTTTGCATAGCATAGAAGGGCATGTTTGAGGTGACAGATTGGATGAGGGTTGCTCTACCAGCCAAGGAGAGTATTAGTTTTCCAACAAGAGAGCTTTTTGCGCATTTTTTCAATGATGAATTGGAATTGAGCTCTATTGACACGGTTGTGAAGAAGAGGAGTGCCAAGGTATTTACCAAGATCTTGAGTGAGAGGAATACCACAATGGTGGCTAAGATTTCGAGCCTTATTCCTAGAGACATTAGCAGAGATAAAAAGCTTAGACTTATGAAAATTGATTTTTTGGCCAGAAATATCACAAAAATCATTCAAAACTTCCATCACCACATCACAATGAACCATATTCATTTGGGAAAAAAGAATGAGGTCATCAGCAAAGAAAAGGTGAGTTAGAGGAGGGCAGTTATTAGAGGCTTTTATCCCTTTCCAATCACCAGAATCAACCTTAAGATTGATCATGTTAGAGAGCCTTTCCATGCAAAGGACAAAAATATAGGGAGAAAGGGGACATCACAATGAACCATATTTGCTTGGGCAAAAAGAATGAGGTCATCAGCAAAGAAAGGTGAGTTAGAGGAGGGCAGTTATTAGAGGCTTTTATCCCTTTCCAATCACCAGAATCAACCTTAAGATTGATCATGTTAGAGAGCCTTTCCATGCAAAGGACAAAAATATAGGGAGAAAGGGAATCGCCCTGTCTGATGCCTCTACCAGTGTGAAAAGTTGGCAAGGCTTCACCATTCCATAAAATAGCAGTGTTCACAGAAGAGATACAACTCATAATAAGATCAATCAAGTCTTTATTAAAATTAAATTCAACAAGGGTATTAAAAATAAACTCCCAAGAGATCCTATCAAAAGCTTTTTCAAGATCAATTTAAGAATCATACCGCCAAGTTTGCCTTTTTTATGTCTCAAAGTGTGCAGAATTTCTTGGGTAATGATGATGTTATCAATGGTTGATCTACCAGAAATAAAGCTACTTTGATTGGGGCTGATAATCTTATCAATGAGAGGTCTAATTCTGTTAACAATAATTTTAGTGATTATTTTGTAGCTCACATTGCAGAGGCTGACAGGCCTAAATTGCTTGATATTCTCAGGGTTATCAATTTTGGGGATCAAAGTGATCAAGGTTTCATTAGCCTCAATAGGAATTTCTTTATTGGCAAAACAATTTTTAACAAACATACAAACAGATGGAAATTTATGATAAAAGATGCCTTGAACACCATCAGGGCCAGGGGCTTTAAAGGCCCCAATGTTCTTAACAGTGTCCCAGATCTCTTTATTACTAACAGGTTGCTTAAGATGACGATTCTCTTCTTCGTTGATTTTAACTTTGGCAATGTTATTGTAATGCTCAAGAGTTAGGACATCTTTATGACTAAAGAGATTGCGAAAATAATTAATAACAAGGGATTTCAAGTCATTGGGGTTGTTAATCCAGATACCATTATCATCACAAAGCATGCAGATTCTAAGTTTTCTTCTTCTAGTGATGGTAGCCATGTGAAAATACTTTGTATTTCTTTCCCATTGGGTGAGCCACTTAACTCTTGATTTTTGATACCAAAGGATTTCCTCTTGGCGAAGAACAAGATTGAATTCTTTTATGAGGTCTTTTTCAAGGAGAAACATGTTGTGAGTAAACTTAGAGTCTTGGGCTTTTTGAATGCCTTCAATGCGAGATAACAGTCTCTTTTTTTTATGAAAAATGTTGCGAAAAATGTCTTTGTTCTAGATTTTAACTTTAGACATCATGAAGTTGGTTTTAGCAATCAAGGAAGAGTTACAATCATTCCAAGCATTTTGAATAACTTCTTTAAAATTAGGATGGGTAATCCAAGCAGCTTCAAATCTAAAAGGTCTATTTACTGGAGTAGGGGTAAAGTGCATACCTTCAATGTAGACCACCAACGGAGCATGGTCAGAGTATGTTCGGGGAAGATTCCGGATACAGCTTTCAGGGAATGCGTTCATCCATTGAGTGTTGCAAAGAGCACGATCAAGTCTTTCTTTGGTATTGGCTAATCCTTGACGATTATTGGTCCAAGTGAGTTTTGGACCAGAACAGCCCATGTCCATGAGGTTGCAGTTGCTGAGTCTTTCAAGAAATTTCGAATTCCTACTCGTATTAGTGTTGGGGTTGAAACTTCTTCTTTCCTCTTGATTAGCAAAATCATTAAAGTCACCTGCCACTAGCCATGGGTTTTGAATGTCTTCAAAGATAGCTTTAATGCCTTCCCATAGAGCATCTATATTTCTGGGATTAGGACTAGCATACACGGCTGAAAGAACCCATTCCTCGTAATCCACTCTGTTGATTGTGGCATGTATTACTTGGTTATTGGCTTCGAATACATTAACACTAACCTGTGAGGGCTCCCATAAGAGCCAAATTCCTCCACCTCTACCATTCGGATCAACACTAGATGAGGCAGTGAAGCCCAAGTTGTTGAAAAACGTGCCCATAGAACTAAGTGTGACTTTGGTTTCCATGAGAATTATCATATCAGGTTTGTGGTTTCAGATGAGATCCCGGATGTTTCTCTTGAAGGTGTTATTGCCAGCCCCCCGGCAGTTCCAGATAAGCAAATTCATTGATCCCTTATTGGGAAGTTATAGGGGAGTGTTGAAGTCTAGTTGACCCATGATGTGATTAACTCTCTTGTAATCGTCCAGAGTGGACTTCATTGATGCTAGTTTCACCAAGTGTTGAATGTGGCCTGAGAGGCATTTCCATCTTGGTTCGATACTCATCCTTGCGTGTTCTACCCACCATTCTACGACGACTAGGTGAGTTGCTTCGGTCTCTAGCTCGATAAACAAACTCACATTATTGTATTTCATGCGATGATGGGTCGGTTCCGTTGGATCCATGATGAATTGAGGTATCAGGGGGTCTTTCTTTAAGGTTAGATTGAACTGGAGATAAGTGAGAATGATGATGTTGGGTGAGATTGGAGTTTAGATCATTTGTTGGTTGGTTATGGTTTGGAGAGGTAAGAGAGTTATGAAAATTTTCCATCTCTGTTGAGGTTGTAGAAGTAGACGTAGGGTGGACAGAAGCATCAGCTTTAGTTCTCTTCATTGCAATATCAACTTTATTACTCTTCATTGTAGGTTTCTCAGAAGGAGATAAAGCATTGACGGTGGTGATTTACACTTCAGGGATTGTGTCTACATCCGACGTCAATAACGTATCTCTATCCATACAAGAGGAATCTGGCTGATTTTCTGTGGCTGTAAAAACAGTGTTGGGTTGAGAAGTAGAGGGTTGAGTTTGGGCCATTTTAGCTTTGTGCTTAGGTTCAGAATGTTTGTATTTAAATGGGCCTTGTTTAGCATTTTGTAGCGAACCAAATCTGTTCTTTTCCAAATTGGGTTGGTTGGTTATAGGTTTTTTCCCTTGGTTTGGTCTTTTGGGCTTTCGAGCTACTAGCATCTATGGCCCATACCTGGTTTTGTCTGATCCGGACTCCATAATTTCAGTAGAAGCTGAGTTTTCCACGCGCCGGTGTGCGTTTGTGCTGTCTAAAGCTTCTGTGGACTTGTCTGGCTTCGTAGTCGGAGTCCTTCCACAATGCTCTTGCCGGTGACCCACCCTGCCACAAGAAAAGCAAAAAAAGTGTAAGTGTTCATATTCTATATTATAGACATATTTACCTATAGCGAATTGCGAAGTTAGCGGGTTTCCCAGGTTGATTTCTACACAAACTCTAGCATAGCGCCCTCTGGTTGTTGTAGCAGTATTGAGATCAACTTTGATTGGTTTGCCAATTAGCTTGGCTATGTGGAAGAGGACCTTTTCATTGTAGTATTCAATAGGCAATTGTGGAAACCTCACCCACACAGCTGTGGAGATGTCTTCAGCTACAGATGGCTTGAAATCTGCCTTCCATTTTCTCACAGTCAAATAGTGATCTAAAATAACCCAAGGGCCTCCTGTGAATACTTTTGTGAAATCTGACTTTACCTCAAACTTGAATAGGAAAAATCCTAATCCCAGATCAACAGCTTCGAAATCACCTTGGATTTCCCATAGCCTCTTGACCCTATTCAGAAGAGCTTTGTAACCTATGCTCATGCCCATTAATTTAACAATTAAGCAATCCTTCCATGGCCTTCGGATTTTCCTTAAAAGGCTTTGAGGGAGAAGGACTCTGGGTATAGAGGTGCTGAGATTTGAGTCCGCCTCAGGTAAGTCTTCCATTTCTCCATCACTCATGAGCTCATCGTCGGTAGAGAGATTGTCTGCATCACTATCGAAAAGTTTTTCGTTGAATTTTGGGTCTAGCAGCACTTGCTTGAAGGATTTTTGCTGGGTTTCAGTTTCTTGGGCCCTAATACGTTGATCCCCTTTTGCAATTGGATGGGTTGGGGATGAATCTTCAATTGCGTTTGCAGAGGGGTCAAGCATTTGAGCATCAGCTGCAGTGGACAGGGTATTAGGGTTAGGTTCCTCTACAATGGTCACTGGTTGGCAACCAGCAAGGAGATGGGGAGGATTCGGTGAAATCTCAACCATAGGGTGATCTTAATTGATGATCGGAGGATCGGGATCATTAGAGGTTGTTCCGGCAGAGATCAGAGTGATCTCGCCGGAAGAAGCCATCATTGGTGCGTAGATCTCAAGCTATCCGTTAAAGAGAGATGATATCCGTTAGAGAGAGAACCTCATTTTATTTTAATTAGAAATTTCGAATCCGGGTGATATACATGTATAATTGGTTGATATTGTGGGAACTATATGCAAGTAAAATAAGAGGAAAAAAAAATAATCAACTTATGAGAAGTGCAAGTGATATTTTTATTCTTACAATCTTTTATTTGTATTTTATTACAGACATATTTACATTCTCATTTGTTACTGAGAGGGCAATTTGTGAACAAATTTGGCCGAGTTAAGAAGAGTCTTCTTTGGAAGTTAGGCCGCACAATAGGCCGAGATAAGAGTTTGTGTAGATCGATCTTGGGCTAAGAAGACACTAGGCTGGTTGCCAGGGCTTGGACCTAGCTATCTGAAGGTAATCCTTTATCGGACCGAGATGTTGTCAATAGAGAGGGCTGAACTATGTGTAGCTCGGCAGGGTGCCATTTGGTAGCTCGGTTTCCAGTCACACGGCCCGAATGGCAGGGGACCGAGATAAAACAGCTCGGTCAAGAATGTATATTTGAGCATGAGGGTGTGGCCATCTCATTTGGCTTGCAGTGATGAGCGTGTTTTAAGAATAAGCATTATCCTTGGGCATGTGCATTATCCTTTGGCATGAGACTTCCAGGAGGACTCTACTAAGGAAAGTAGAATCCTACTAGGATTGTGCAAACTATCTCACTTGGTTAGTAGTGAGTAGGTGTTATTAGGAGAGGCATTATCCTTGGGAGTATGATTCCTAAGAGGACTTTTATAAGGAGAGCTTAAGTCCAACTAGGATTGTACCAGGTGGAATCTATAAAAGCTCATGATAGGACCTATGTACAGGTATCACAATTCTTACTCTCAAATACATAGAGCTTTTATGTCTATTGTCTGTTTCGCTGACTTAGGCATCAGAGAGGGTTCCAGCACACTCCCGCTGGCTAACTCACGTTTGTGTTTTCAGGTAGTAAAGCGACGACGTTTGGAAGAGTGCAAACTTGATCAACAGGATTATATGAGAAGATTATTTCGTGCTCGTACAATTGGTGCCGTCTATGGAAATCTGACAGAGAACAAACCTTTTGATTGAGTTTTCCTTCAATTAATTTCAATGGCACATAACGAAGACTTGCCACATTCTGCTATTGATGGGCAAACCTCGAAAGGGAGCGGGAGATGCGAAGGTTTGCCTTTTGTTCAGCCTATGGCAGAATTGGATTCCCAACGACGGAACCCACGGAGAGACATGTGAGAAAGACAAGGCTCAAGTACTCATCGCTCTCAAAGCCCTGATAGGCAAAGGCAGAGAATGGATCCTCAAGTACTAAAAAATCGCGTAATGAAGCAAGATGAATTGATAAAGAAAATGGTGGCTGACATGGAGACCATGAAACGCTAGATAAAAAGCAAAAGGGTGGCAGAAGAATAGATGGGCAAAGACATAATGCACTCTCGCCACTCAGGAGATCGTAACAGGCAAGTCACACCATCACAAACTGAAAACAGAAGCCTCAGGACAGGCGACACATAGTCAAGGATTTCCAGGACTCGTTACTCCAGGTTTGAGAGAACAAGGACTGAAAGGTCTTACACAGAGGGAAGCAGTTATCGGCCATCGCATACGCGCCAAACAACATCTAGGCACACCGAGATGCCTAGATCGGTGGATTTGCGAACTATTCTAGAAGAAAGGGAGCAAAGAAGGAAAGACACCCAGGTCCATGACCCTCAGAGGATCTTGGCTCTACAACGATTGGCACCTAGAACACACGGGAGCGTCAAGGTTAGAATGCTAGTACCGCGCCTTGCCTACGAAGCCGATAAGGCATTGGCAAGTTACAAAGCTCGCTGTTCGTTTCGGTAATAGAGAACGCACCACTGCCCTTAGGCTTCAACCAGTCTAAGTTCACAATCTATGAGGGGAAGTCAGACCCTTACATACACTTTCGCCAAGTTATGGCCATGTATTGACAGAACAAGGCTCTAATGTATATCATATTTCCCTCTAGCCTAGGCGACCTAAGCTTGACATGGTTAGAGAGGTTTCTAGAAGGCAGTATTGCTTCATGGGCGCAACTTGCGGAGGCATTTGTTACCAAGTTTAGGACGAACACCAAGACACCAGTGGAGATAAACCAATTGCTTTTCATCAACATAGGTGAGAAGGAAACACTGAAGTCTTACAACAACTGGTATTGAAAGACTTTTAATCAGATCGAAGATTGCCCCATGAACCTAGTTATCACACAGTAAAAGCGGGGTTTGCCAGTGGGTCATACGTTGAAGGATTCAATGACAATGACGCCGCCCCTTACTATGGAAGCCCTGATGGAGAGAGTGCACCAACACATCCGAGTAGAGGAAGATGAAGCGCGCACCAAGACAGAGTTTGGCACAACAGCGATGCCAGACAAAAAGCCTTTGGCGAGAGTTACCACGGTTGACAAATAGGACCGACCGCGCAAAAGTCTTTGCTCAACTAGGGGTAAAGTGGGTTGGTAGGTTTGACCAACTCTTTTCTAACAAATCTTTGCCCAATAAGGGGCAAAAGGGGTTGGCAGGTTTGACCAACTCCTTCTAACAAAATTTTTGCACCCTTTCGCTGAGATGAGGATTTAGGCTAAAGGAGGTTGGCAAGTTTGATCAACAAAAACTTTTTTGCACTCTTTAGCCGAGATGAGGATCTAGGCTAAAGAAGGTTGGCGGGTTTGACCAATAAAATTCACTCTTTAGTTGAGATGAGGATCTAGGCTAAAGGAGGTTGGTAGGTTTGACTAACAAAATTTTTACACCATTTCGCCGAGATAGGGATCTAGGCTAAAGGTGGTTGGCAGGTTTGACTAACAAAATTTTTGCACCCTTTTGCCGAGATGAGAATCTAGGCTAAAGGAGATTGGCAGGTTTGACCAACACAAACGTTTTTGCACTCTTTAGCCGAGATGAGGATCTAGGCTAAAGAAGGTTAACATGTTTGACCAACAAAATTTTTGCACCCTTTAGCCGAGATGAGGATCTAGGCTAAAGGTGGTTGGCAGGTTTGACCAACAAAATTTTTGCACCCTTTCGCCAAGATGAGGATCTAGGCTAAAGGAGGTTAGCAGGTTTGACCAACAAAAAGTTTTGCAATCTTTGACTTGGATGACAGTTTCCTTGGCCAAAGCAAGTTGGCAGGTTTGACCAACAAAACTTTTGCACTCTTTGACCCGGATGATAGTTACCTCAACCAAAGTAAGTTGGCAGGTTTGACCAACAAAATTTTTAAACTTTTGGACCGAGATGCTTATCTCTACCGATGAAGGTTGGTAGGTTTGACCAACAAACTTTTTGAACTCTTGAACTGAGATGGTAATCTCGGCCAAAGAAGGTTGGCAAGATCAAGTAAGGCCAAGCTAATTAGTTCGGCTAGACATGCGGTCGAAATAATACAAAATATTGAAAAAGAAACACAGTAACCGAGCAAAATTTTCAATAATTGGAAGATGATTACAAAAGGTGGGACATATAACCCAGTTACACAGAAAGAACGCCTTCTAGTACGATTGTGAACTCAAAGGATATAAATGTTGAAGGCAAAAGCGCAGGGTTGTTCAAATTTTTAGAGGTATATGACGGTTGTAACAAAAGAACGAGGATAATGGGGGCACGCCATGTATCCTAGGAATGACGTCGTGTTAGACATGCCAGATTTATAGAAGGACGTACTGAGCAACTGACAAGACTTATTGGGGCCGAACGAGTTGTGAAACTGATTTTCTAGCTCGACAGAGTTGGGTGTTCTTAGCTCGGCTAGAGAAAAATAATCTCAATCGTGCTACGCAGATAGAATTAAGGGGCAATTGAGAGGGTAATTTGTGAACAAATTGGGCCGAGCTAGGAAGAGTCTTCTTTGGAAGTTGGGCCGCACAATGGGCCGAGATAAGAGCTGGTGTAGCTCAGTTTTGGGCTAAGAAGACACTAGGCTGGTTGCCAGGGCCTGGACCTAGCTATCTGAAGGTAATCCTTTATCGGACCGAGATGTTGTCAATAGAGAGGGTCGAGCTATATGTAGCTCGGCAGGGTGCCATTTGGTAGCTCGACTTCTGGTCACACGGCCCAAACGGCAGGGGATCGAGATAAAACATCTCGGTCAGGAATGTATATTTGAGCATGAAGGTGTGGCCATCTCACTTGGCTTGCAGTGATGAGGGTTTTTTAAGGATAAGCATTATCCTTGGGCATGGGACTCCTAGAAGGACTCTGCTAAGGAGAGTAGAGTCCTGCTAGGATTGTGCAAACAATCTCACTTGGTTGGTAGTAAGTAGGGTGTTATCAGGATATGCATTATCTTTGGGAGTGTGATTCCTATGAGGACTCTTATAAGGAGAGTCGGAGTCCTACTAGGATTGTGCCTGGTGGAATCTATAAAAGCTCATGACAGGACCTATGTATAGGTATCACAATTCTTACTCTCAAATACATAGAGCATTTGTGTCTATTGTCTATTTCGCTGACTTAGGTATCAGAGAGGTTTCTAGCACACCCTTGCCGGCTAGCTCACGTTTGTGTTTTCAGGTAGTAAAGCGACGACGTTTGGAGGAGTGCAAACTTGATCAACAGGATTATACGAGAAGATTATTTTGTATTCGTACAGTTACTAATTTTTTTTCCTACTTCGATCTTTATGTAGTTCCCCCTTAATATTACATGTGCAATTTGCACCTATAGCTTGGTATCCTATCCGCACCTAAAAATTTCTCTCTATATATAGACATAGGTATCGTTTGGCAGGAAAGTTGAGTTGATTTTTTGGCTAAATTAGTCACAAAAAGATAAAATAGGTTAAAAATTAATAAGACAAAATATCACATTTAAATCATAATTATTTCACTTTTTTTCTCACAAAAAATTTA